GCAGATCAACGGCTCATATCGCAAGTAAAAGATCCAACGCTCACGAATGCACCATCTGCCATCGAGTGTTCTCGTCGGGACAAGCATTGGGAGGCCACAAGAGATGCCATTGGCTAACACCATCCAATTATCTTCGCATGACGTCGCTCCATGATCATCATCATGATCATTCTGCAGGAATACCTCAGCCGTTAGATCAACCATCTCTAGATCTCAACTTAGCTTGCCAAGAGTATTCGGTTGATCCAACGGTCATGAGCGTAGGGATGATTGGGAGAGATGGTGGTGTTGGCACTACTAATCACAACGCTACTTCGTCTTCATGGTTAAAACTCGCAAGTGGTGATTGGTCTTGACGACTGACTAAGTAATTAAGTTTGCTAATTATATCCATTCATTCGTTTATATATATTCTTTACGTATACAAGTGCATTAATTTATAGAGCTGTATGAATTTTATATGAATTATTACGCCTTAACGTACATGCATGCTAGCGTTTTAGAGAGCCATAACTTGCTCTAGCCAATATATCCATATTATCGTAACGAAATATATGTACGTAAGTTAAGAAAAGAAGTATTATTACAAGAGAGAACCCACCTATTATTGCGCCAATTTTTTTCGTACATATTTGACTACTTAATATATAGGCGTTGATAACTAACGAATGTTAATTTTTTCTTGTAATTAATTAGAAAAACCGAAAGAAGAAAATATCACAAATAACGCTTGTGATGAACCACGTATATTGCAACATTAATGAGGAAAACGCTCTTACATAACCGAAAAGAAGGCATGAACATTAGTCAACGGTATTGATAAATTTGGTGGGTCTTCTTTAATTAAGCACGATTGCAAGGAAAGGGTCATATTTCTCTCAATACTATTCTATACATATATATAGTTTTTGGAAAAGTGGTTGCCATTACAAGTTATGAACTTTTGACTTTAGGAAGTTGATCAACCCATCAGCTGAAAACTAGGATTAGCGGTGGAAATTAGATTACTGTCAACTGATATCCAATCTCTCTTTGAAAAAGTCTCAAGTAAAGTATATATAGATATGATTTGTTGGACCAATAAAAAAATCTTTAATCAATTAACTCGAAGACATATATGTATGGTTATGATTTTCTAATCAGCCGTTGACGCATATACATAAGCTCACTTTTAATACAAGGAATTTCTGGTATAGTATGGCATAATTAATGTCGCTACAATGAGTTATTC